TCCTTCCTTCCTTCCTTCCTTCCTTCCTTCCTTCCTTCCTTACTTCCTTCCTTCCTTCCTTTCTTCTTCCACCCACCCACCCTACCTTTCTAGGCGTCCGTTGTCTCCGTCCACAACGAGCTTTGCTCCCTAGTAAATGTAATAAATAAATAAATAAACTATGTACCGAGATAAATAGTGTGTCCCGTTTTAATCTGTTTTGTTTTTAAACTGCTTTTAATCATTCTGTAATGTTGTATTTACGTGTTTTAGAACTTACTCATGATCCGCCCCGAGCCCGCTTGCGGGGAGGGCGGAACATAAATTGAAATCAATAACGGAATAAAAACTAACCTATCCCGCCCGGATTGCTGCAGGACTGAATTCATCTCCAAGCTCACCCTGCTGAAGGAACAGTGGCAGAGTGCCGTTCTGATGGCTCAGCGGAGGAAGAGCGAGATCGACAGCCTCGCCAAGCGGTGGCACAAATTCAAGACCCTGGTGCAAGACCTCATGAGGTTCCTCAAGGAGACAAAGAGCTTCATCGCCGCTGTGAAGAGCCAGGACAAGTACAGCCTGCACCAAGTCTGGAATCTGAGTCAGGATTTCAAGGTTAGTTCTTTTATTTGTTTGTTTGTTTGTTTGTTTATTATTTGCATTCATATCCCGCCCATCCCGCGGGCGGCCTCAGGGCGGGTAACATCATTAGAATAAATACAATTTCAGTTTAAAACATTAAACCTTAAAACATGATAAAACGCCGTAACAATTCAAACCATGGGTACTGCTTGGAACAGCGTCAGTTGGCTATAAAGTTCTGGCCCGGTGGTACAATGAGTTAAAGGCCACTTGTCGGTGGTCAGTAGACAGGTGATGGACGGGTGATGACAACCTCAGGGAGGCCATAAATAGGCACCCGCTGCCTCAGCCAAAGGCCTGGCGGAAGAGCTCCGTCTTGCAGGCCCTGCGGAATCGAAGGAGATCCCACAGGGTCCTGGTCTCAATAGGGAGGGTGTTCCACCAGGCTGGGGCCAGGACAGAGGAAGCCCTGGCCCTGGTTGAGGCAAGACGGGCGTCCCTCAGGCCAGGGACCACCAGGAGATGTTGATCTTTCAAGCGTAACGCTATTCGAGGCGTATATGGGAAGAGGCGGTCCCTTAGATCTTGTGTTCCCAAAGAACCGGCTGGTGCAACAGAAGGCTTGGCAGTCTTAGGGACCCTGCCCCCAGGTTCCATTGCCCACTGCCTCTTCAAGGGGCAGTGGGAGAAAAAAAATTAAACCCCGGTGGCATTGCAAGTGCCATTACCAGGGGCGTAGCTAAAAAATTTTGGGTGGTGGGGCGTTGGAAACTCTGGGGGAGGGGGGAGCAGGGGAGATAGATTCTGTCAGCAGGCTAGCCAAGAAGAGAAGGGTCTTTTCTTACCTGCTGGCCACACTCGTTTGCATTTGCTGCCACGGGAGAAGGAGAGCCAACCAGCCGGTGCAATTAATACTCGGCGAGCATGTGCTCTCTGCATGACTGCAGTGAGGCCTGCCTGCCTCATCCTCCCACTTGTTCGGCCTGGGAGAGGGAGAGCTGGCAGGCTGGCATGATTAGCACTCAGGGAATATGCACTCTGCACTACAGTAGCAGAAAGTGTATACTCGCTGAGTATTAATTGCACCAGCCGGCTCTCCTTCTCCTGTAGCAGTTGAAGCAAACAAGTACAGCCGGCAGGTGAGGGCACAGGGAGAGGCAGTGGGAGTTGTGGGGCGTGGGCCACAAGTGAGGGGGCGCTGTCCCTGAATGCCCCACTGTGGCTACGGGCCTGGCCATTATTCCACTTACAGTGACATCCCAGAATTGATGCAGGGTAGCTCTAGGAACCACTGGAAACACTATGGTTTTACAGCCTGGCAGTCCTACGAAACAGCCGGTGTCTGGAAAACTTACAAGGGCCTCACCACCCAGTGCATTAAATAGCCAATGGGTATCTGAAGTGCTACCAGATTTTTCAAGGGTGGAAAAAGGAACTGCAAAGGAGCTCAATGAATTCTTTCAACCAGCTTTTAGGATTGAAAGGAGGGGGAGAGTCTGCTGAATACCTTTCCCCCCTTTTTTGATCTCAGTGTCAGCATAGGTATTTATTGACTCAAGACATATTTGTCTGGTTCCTCTTTTAGAATAAAGAAGTCCTCCTTCGGAGGTGGCAAACCAGGTATTCTTTAGCCCTGGATACTGAGGAAGAGCTGCTTGGCATGGCAAACCCCGAAGCAAAAGCGGGCATACAGAAGGAGAGGAGTCAGTTGCAAGAGAGTTGGAGCAACACTCAGCTTCAAGTCGAGGAGATCACAAAACAGTTCCGAGGCACCATCAAGGTATCCTTCATTCTCTGGAACAAATTCCAAAACGGTAGCTGTATTAATTTGTGGCAGCGAACACAAAAGAAGGCACCCATGGTTAAAGCCTACCACATTTATAGTCACATCAGTATCTTCTTCGTGGTCTCTGTGCTTCACACCAATGGGTTTAGTGCGCCTGCGCTGGCCCGACCGGTGCTGTAGCAAGCTATGTTTCAAAGGATTTTCGCGCGAGTCCCACTGAGCATGCGCAGGAAACCCAGCGCGCATGCCCAGAGGGACGGGCGCGGAGATCCCGCCAGTTCTCTCTTTACCGCCGCGTTGAAAGGACCTTTTTGCCTTTCCTCCTGACCGGATAGCTGTTACTGCCTTCGGGCCTTTACCTCATTCCTTTGTTTCTTAGGACCATCCTCCGTTTGAATTTTTTCTCTTTAGTTTTCTTTAAAAAAAAAAGGGGGGGGGAAGAAGAAAAGGAACAAGAACTTTTCTTTTCCTGAGGGGAATCTCCTCAGGCCTTCGGGCCTCCCCCCCCCCCCCTTCCCTCTTCACTTTTCCTCGGCATTTGTCTCTTCCCACCGTATGGAAAAGAAAAAGAAGAAGAGTCAGAAGTGGGGCTTTTTCAACCGCTGTAAGAAGTGTGGAAGTAAATTGGCCCCTCCAGACGGCCATGAACTTTGTTTGTTCTGCTTAGGCGAGTCACATAGAGCAGATACTTGTAAGCACCTTTCTTCTGTTGAAAGGAATCTCTGATGAAACTCTAGAAGTTTGGAATTCTCAGGATGGAAGTGACAGGCCACAATTCATCCCTGCTGAAGCCCAGAGTGTTCGGGTGAACTTGTCGCTGTATGTGTCAACAACAAAGCTGACCTTTCACCTAGGAAACTCTTAGGAGCCTTTCCTTTGTGGCCTGCAACCCTTCCCATGAGTACCGAGTATTTTTGATTAAGCCAGATATAGATTTCAGATATTTGTCGTCTATCCGAAATGGCCAAGCCCCAAAAATCCCAAAAATTTTCGGGATTTTCAGGACCGCCAGATAGATGAACTTAAAGGGCATTTAAAGGGATTGTGGCCCCTTTAAATGCCTTCTCCAAGCCGTGTGACTGCAGCTTGGAGAACTCTGAAGGCATTTAAAGGGCTTTTTAAAGGGACTGCAAGCCCTTTAAATGCCTTTTTCTTCTCAATTGAAATTAATGGAGGATGGAGGCACCATTTTGGGGGCCCATAGAATTTGACCCTCTAGTCCAATCTTTTTTAAACTTGTGGGGGATGAGGAGGGACATGTTGCAAATTTGGTTCCTCTACCGTAAAAAAACAGCCCCCACCCCGAGCTACAAATACCCTCGGATCGAGTCTCCATTATACCGTGTAAGGACCATTGGTCTTAATGGGACCATAGGGTATAATGGAGCCAAAAAAATTGTGTTTCTTATATATTTCCCAAATCTGAATACCATACTGGTACTGGGATTCAAGAACATTGGGAAATACCAATATTTTTCAGGTACAATATACTCGTACTCAGAAAATACCATTTTGTGGGTTTTTTTGCATAACCCTAATCCAGAATTCCTCCAGTCCCATTGCCTCATGTAAAGGGAAGGGGGCACAACCAAATAGCTAGAGTGATACTTTTTTTTTTTACTATTTGTATCTTCCTTCATGTTTTCTCTGCAAAACCACAGACATGGGAGAACTCTGAAAGAGAGATTGAGGACCTGCACCAGCAACTGCAGGAAATCAAGGCGAGAATGAAAGATCCTCTCCCAGCAGAGCACGATGAGCTGCAGACAGCAAAAGAGCAGATGAAGGTACCGAACTTCAGTCCGAATATTCGTCTCCTGCAGGGAACTTTCTTTTTGTCTCGTCAAAGGGCTGACCCGTAACATTAAGACCACTGCTGCATCCAAAGTAATTCATTTTCTCCCATCAATTTGTACAAGCTGATCGATCTGGAAACGTTTTCCCCCCCACAACCCCCCGTGTCCCAAAAAGGTGGGGGAGGGGGCTTGCCAGAAAGAGCAAGTCCGCTCTGCTCTGAAGACGACGGTGTGCCAGCAAACAGAAGGGAGGGAGAAGTTGAAGGTGGTGTTTGACCAGACGCACTGGAAACAGGCGAGCTCCAGCAGTGCTGCCGGACCCACAGAAGTTCATCTTGGTCCCCTGTATGGAGAACCAGTCTAGTGGGCTGAGCAAAATCATCTGGAGTGCCCTTGTATGGCATACGCCCCAGTAGTTGCATGTCCCTCTACTAACATATTGTTGGGCCAGATGTGGCCCAGAGAGCCTTGCACTCTGCCGATCAAGATCTGCTGGTTGTCCCTGGCCCAAGGGACCCCCACTTAACCTCAACTAGGGCCAGGACATTTCCTGCCCTGGTCCCAGGTTGGTGGAACATGCTCCCATCTCAGCTCCTGTGGGACTTACTATCATTCCGCAGGGCCTGTAAAATGGAGCTGTTCCACCAGGCCTTTGGTTGAGGTGGCGGGCGTCCAGTAAAATATCACACACCCCCCGTTGAAGTTTACCATCTTTATGTGGCCCAGATTAAGAATATGGAACATGGCACCAGCTTGAAATCTGCATATGAATACTGTGACCTGTTTTAATCTATATATCTAATAGCGAACTTGCCCCCGGAGTGCGGATCGCTAAATCAGCGCTCCGGGGGCAGCTGGGGGGCCGGGGGAGGTTTGTGTACACGTGGGCCAGTCCCCACGTGTGCACAAAAATAAAAAAAGCTGAAAGAAATCTCGGGGGATGTTTAAATCCCCCCGAAAGTGCAAGAGCAGGGAGGGGGGGCCAGAGCGGCGAGGGCCGCGGAGC